GATTTGGTTCTGTTAGTCAGTTTAGACTTTTAGTCCCAATTGAAGTTTGGTTTTGAATCCGTTTAGATTACAAGAACTAAAATAACTAAATAATTTTATATTACAAGAACTATTGAGTAACGAATAAAATCAAGTCAATAGAGATAGATCAACTAAAAAATTAAGAATTTTGTTGTTTTTTTATGCATTATGTAACCCGACTGCCTAAGGAGGGAAAAAGTCTTAAGTATAACATAATGAGCTTGTAAAATGAAATTTTCAGTGCTATTAAGTACTATCAACATCATAGATTGGGGAGAATCGAGATATAGTTATGAAATTATGGCTTATCTTTTGATTTTTATTTTTCTTTAAAAAAAAAGGTAAACATGTAAGTGAGTTGGATTGGTTCAATTAACCAGCGATTTGAGACTTTAAACCATGACTGAATCAATCCACCATGGTTTTATAAAATAAACAAAATAATAATAATAATAATAATAATAATAATAATAATAATAATAATAATAATAATTACCTGTGTCAAATCGACCCAAACCGGCCAAAACCAGTTGAATTGATTGGTTTGATCAGTTTTTCTACCCAGGCCTACTCCTAAGCACTAGTTCTCGAGAAGGAAAGAAACAGACTGTTCATTATAGACCTTTGCTTATCTATTAACTACGTATTGATGGAGGGTTATTTAACGAACTTATTAGGGTAAAAGAGAATAGAAGGAATGGAAAAGTAAGGGGCCAATAACATATTTGTTCTTTTGTCTATGCTTTAGGTTTAACACCTAACCCAAAAGAAGATTAAAGCTAGATTTATCTACTTATTTTTGGTCACATTGCTTATGATTATAAGCTGTCAATGGCTTAAAAGTTATTCAATTATAGTGCTGGACTGCCTTTGAACCAACTTTTAAGGACTAAAGTTTGTGATATGATAAGATATCTGCACTTAAGTTTTACTTTTAGTTACTTATTTCATTAGTATATATGTGCGAATATTTACAGAAAATTAAAGCAAAAATATATGATTGAAAATGAATAATTTTTAAATAAACTGTGCCAAACAAATGCATATAAGCCAAGGAAAACTAGATTATATATCAGCCAAGCCCTATTTCCCCACCCAAATTATAGTTCTCATTGACCGCAATCATTTCTTCCAAACCCAACATAATAATTCACATAGAGCTCAAGGACAAATGACATAGAATCGACCTAGTGTGTGTATCTACATTTATGGACACAATCATTCAATAAAAAGTAGCAATGGCCAATGAATGACCCGGCACCACCAAAATACAAGTCATGTCGTGACATGGTAAGTCGATTTGTTTGACACATCTAAGTCTTGCACTAGTTTTATCATAAGTTGAGATTCATAAATACGTAAATATAAGTGTATATATACCCATTTATCAATACAAAGAAACAAGTGGCAATGGTTTGCCCGGACAAACCAAATACGGGTCTTGTCATATCATGTTATGTCAATCATTTTGATACTTTCAACTCTACATCTGTTTTATCGAACTCGAGATGTGTGGACTGTATGTGTGTATGAGCTCGTTTGTCATGACTTTTGCTTTTACTTTTGTTAGAAGAGTTTTTGAAGAAAGCTGTCTTAATTTTGTTTGAAAACTAATTTTTAAAGAGCTTACTATTCCAGAAATGCTTTTAAAGGATGCCACATTTGACTGGCTTCCTCTAAAAATTCTTCTAATTAAAAGAAACACTTTTTTAAAATTAACAAAATGAGTTCAAAAGCATTTTTTTTAAGTTTCAAAATCTCATTTTGTCATTTCAAAAACCATGTTAAATGGTCCTATGTATGTTTAGGATCCATTATATACATACACAACCAGCCATTGTGTTGGAATGAATGGAATCTTTATTTGATGAACGCTGATTAATCTGAAAAATGTGAGTACCTTTTCTTTGGAGTGGTGACAAAATGATAGCAATTCTCAAAATTTTATTTTTTATTATTTTTTTTTTTTGTAATTTTGTGTTTTGAAAAGTATTTTTGAAGAAAATATGAACATGTTATTTAAAGTTATTCTGTCTTCTTCATCTTTTGATGTAGTAAATACTAAATAGTATATATTACCGCACAACTATTTAAATATTTTTATTTTCACTACATGCTGATTAATGTATATCTCGTTATTAAATAATGCAATACTCGTTACCATAAAGTATAACGAATATACCAATTTTTCTCAAGGATTGACGTTTTAGTTATAAGGGATGTTCATATATACAAACGCAAAATTGAAAATTAAAAATTAAAAAAGAAAATAAAAGAAAAGAAAGAATAAGGACAGGGACGACATTTGATTTTAGCTTCTTCCATCATTAAATTCTAAATATGTTTGGATAAGTTACTTTTTTCTTATTTTTAAGAATAAGTAATTTATTTATGTTCAACTTTAATTATTAAAGATGTTACTTTTTAATTATAAATGAATTTATCGACATATCAATTTTTTAATAATTTATTTGTACGTAGTAATTTTTAAAAAATTTCTTTACAATAATTATAAAGAAAATCTTATTTGTATTGGATTTTTTTCAAGTAGAGATAAATTCGCCCAATTTCCTGCCCCATGTTCATCAATAATTACTAAAGGAATTATTGTTTATGTACAAATGGACATACTGAACAGACAGATAGGTGTCAGGAGAAATTTTATGGGCCCAACAGAAGATCATATTGGCCCATCTTGAAAAAAATACAGTGCTTTTATTAAGTGCAACCGGCCCACATTAAATTTCTTTATACAGCTACATGTAAATACAGACTTGATTATGCTCTTTATTTAAAGGAAACAATTTATAAATATCTTTAAAAAGTTTACTAATTTCATATATTCTTTTAAATTTTTCTATCATCAACATATAACTTTTTATTATTTATTTTTTTACAATTAATTTTGTAACACGATGTTACATTTTGTAAGATGTGTCATCTCCATTGGTGTCACCACTTTTAACACAATGTATTAAACATAATTTGCCTTCTATTTCCATTGCTATCGCGACTGTCGCTACCACTATCACCACTTGTAACATTTAGTTTTACACCATCGATAAATACACAAATTGTAACATTTATTATTATACCACCATTGTTGGCGTCATCACTTGTAACATTTATTGTTGCACCATCACTAACGGACGGTTGCCACCAACACTGCTCACCATCACCATCACCGCCACTAACACCACCATGCACCACTGGGCAACCAACATCCCAACAAACACCACAAAATCATCATTGCCGACGCGCTAGCTTACTACATCAAAATTAAATGTTCAAAATTCACATTAATAGTCAAGGTAACAGTTAGAATAAATCTCAATCATAAGTCATATTCATCCTTGTTTAAAACATATTCCTACATTATCCATCCACTCTACGAGAATGTTCTAATTCTAACTCTGATACCAATTGATATAGGATATTGTTGTACTCATGATACTAATGCAATTCATCATATATCACCAAGAATCAAGCCCGTAAATCCACCTCGAACCCATTCCATTTAAATATTTCACCACATTTCAAGCATGCTCGCACATTCATACATCTTTTCTTTAAAAATAAATAGAAGTAACTATCCTCGTACATTGCAGTATTACACGGCACATTCATTCAGTGATCAAACCTCAATACTGCTGTTTTAATCGGCAAGTTATGGGTTTGTTTTATATTCATCCCTCAAAATTTCTTTCAATCTAATCCTTCAAGTTACATTTCTTTTTTATTGGTTTTGATTTGAACAAAAGAAACTACGATCCCACCTGACTTATGAAACACATGAATGATGTTTGTTTGACGTTAACTTAACTTTTTTTGTCGATAAGAGAAAATCGTGATCTTGTCTCTATGCAATCTCCTTTCGATAAATGAACACGTGTTAGGTCACGAATTTTATGAGCACTTTGGGACTAACCATTAATTTTGATCAAGGCTACAAAGGGGATTGTCTAACTAAAACAAACGTGCAAGTTGAGTAATTGAACTGAAATAAATCAAAGTTGGGTGACCAAAATAATTAAAAATAAAAAAACATGTAAGTTCGATAGCATCCTATGATGTTTTTCTATCAAAGTTTCTTTTGAAATAATGTAAATCGTTTATAAATTATATTGAAATAGGTTTGGTATTAATGGTAAATTTTACAATTAACCGACATTATCATCGATAATGTTTCGAATTCAGTAAGATAACAATACTTTTAATGGTAATTAATACATAATGTTCTTACCTTTCACTATTATTATGGAAAACGTTTCTACTTTTCATTTTTTGATATTTTCACTCTTATTTTCACATTTCATGCGCAAAATGACATTTTTTTTTTCAATTTTCTCAATTAAAATTCGTGAAATGACAAATATAGCATCTGTTTAAAAAAAAAAAGAACTAATTATAATTATAGTCTCAATTTTTTTTTTAAAAAAATACAAACAAGTCCTAAACAAATTATTAAGAAGGTAATTAGCACATAATATCACTTCATGTAGAATTAAATATCTAATGTCCATCATCTATTAATGGTCACATCATCGATTTTAGTCAATTAAACAGGAACTAAATCAATTAAAGACATTTAAATATCATGTTATTGCACGTAGAATTAAATATCTAACGACCATCATCCATTAATGGTCACATCATCGATTTTAATCAATTAAAGTGATCAAATTGAACAAAGTTATTCGATTGAGATCACACTAAAGTATGATTTCCCAATCAAAACAAAATTGTAAATAGTTTTTACTCGTCGTAAAACGCACATGATATAGCACGGACAAATACACGCATGTAGAGGTATAAGAAGAGATGCCATGAAGTTGCTTTACACCCACCATTAGCTTTATTCTTCCACGTCCCCACTCCCTCTCTTCTTTTACATTTCTTCTCCTTTCTCCCATCTTTCTTTCACATTTCACAAGCCCTTCTTTCCATTCATGCCATTGCCATGATACACCACATCTATAATGGCTAACTTCCAATTCCGCCCATTTTTCTCCTCCTTTTTTATCCTCCTCTTCCTCTACCTAGGCTGCTTCATCTTCTCCTCCACCCACCACCACCAAAACCGCCGGAAAAGGAAGCTTTCTCGTGATCACCACCAGGTCAGCCACCATAGACTCAACCCGCCAAAAGCTTTGTCCTCTTCCTGGTCCTTCATCAAACGCCTCTTCTCCTGTAAGCATAATTCCTCCCTACTCCAAGTAGTTAAGGCTCCTTCAATCCCCACCCCATTCTCTTCCACACGGTCCTTACGATTAAACAATCCCATTATTGTCCCGTTCATACCGCCAGAAACTCGCGTATCGGACTCTCCGTTCATTTCGAACCGATCCGAATCCGGTATTTCCTCCGATCAGCCTTTCTTCCCTCTGCGTAACAACATCTACCCATGTCCAATTTGCGGTGAAATCTTCCAAAAATCTAGTATTCTTGAACAGCACCAGTCTACAAAGCATGCAGTATCAGAGCTCATCGATGGCGATACGGGCAAGAACATCGTCCGGATCATATTCAAAACGGGTTGGCCAGATAAGGCAAAGGAACCCATTATCCATCGGATCCTTAAGATTCATAACAGTCCCAAAATATTAGCCAGGTTCGAGGATTACAGAGAGTGCGTGAAGTCAAAGGCGGCTAAAAACGGCGCCGTAAAGAGCAGGGACGTGCGATGTATAGCTGATGGCAATGAACTGCTGAGATTCCACTGTGCGACTTACACGTGTGACCTGGGCCAAAACGGTAATTCTACTTTATGCAATCAGTTGTACTGCAGCGTTTGCGGGATTATACAGAGTGGATTCTCACCCAAGTTGGACGGGATTTCCACGCTATTTACTAGTTGGAGAGCGCACGTGGCAGTCCCAGAGGATATGGAACGAGAGTTCGAGTTCATGCACGTGAAACGCGCCATGTTGGTCTGTCGGGTTATAGCAGGTCGGGTCGGGTGTGATCCCGTCTTGTTCGATAAGGACGATCCAGGATTCGATTCCTTGGTGGGTCGGGGAACAGGGTTTTCCCCAAGATTGGACGGCGAAGATGAATTGTTGGTATTTAATGCAAGGGCCGTGCTTCCTTGCTTTGTGATAGAGTACACTGTATAATCGTAATGGTATTTAATGCAAGGGTTCGATATGATCTTATCTTATTTGATAATCGGGTTCAATATGCTGACGGACGGATCGGGGTCACGGGTTTTTCCCGCGATTGGATGAACTGTTGGTGATCAATCAAAGGGTTGTGCTTTTCGGTTTGTCATAAAGTAGACAGTGTAAACCAAATGATTTTCCTCTTTTAGTACCAAATTGTGCTTGCTTTTTTACCTTTTTCTTTACTTTAGTTGTGAGATTGAAAATTAGTGTTTCCAATCCAATGGGAATTATCTAGATTTTGACATGCATTCCAACATAAGTACATTATTTATCCAAACAAACCATTACGAAATCGTTTTATATAATGTAAATGCTAATCGAGTTAATTATACTAAATGTATACTGTGTTGGTGGAATTGGCATCACCACCTGTAAGTGAATAGGGCATGAAGGAGTTGAGATTGAGAAGAAGTTCGATAACTTTATCTCATCCACAATTTCAACTAGTGATGAAAGTCGTTATGTCTGTTTTAGTGTATCAAATATATTATTTTTATGTTATCATGTTAAGTCATATTTGACTTTGACGTCAATTTTACTACTTTTTTCATTGAAATAGAGATTAATTTTGACCAGCTCTTTGAGTTGGGTAAGGTTGTGTTGTGATTTCCTCTCCAATTAGGAATAGAATTTGTAGGGTGAAAAAATAAGGTTAAAAGTAGCATAGTTTCCTATGTAAACTCACATGGGAAAGCCGCAACATTAGATCAGTGTTCAATAATTCTAACCGTTAATTTACAATATGATGACAATTGGCATGCTGAGCAGGGAGGAGTACTGGAGAGAGGCAGAGATTACTTTTATTTTGAAAAAATTATGAGTAAAAGCTCTTTGAACAACTCATCTCCAATTAAATTGGTTTTGTATATGCTAAATTTTATTTGGGCTACATAACATTATTTAAAAATTATATAGTCGGCTTATAATTTATTGAAAATAGAATCTAATTATTATCATTTATAGCAAACGATAAGATGAGATCACGTGTCATCCATTCAAAGATAATCATCTTTCCTAAAAGCTCATATTTATGCCGTTCTCAGTAATGCTAATTTACACCTTCAAGTCTTCAACGGTAACTTAGCTTGGTAATTTTCTCTCTTCGAACATGATATCCATTATTCATCCCACAACCAAATATATAAGTTGACCAACTTAGTCCCTGTTTGGTGCACATTATTTTTT